TTACATGCAGAATGAAAATCCACTTAATTATCTAAGTGCTTCAGATTCTCTGGAAATTGATCTCAATGAAACATTTCAGCCTTTTTTTTTTTCTGTATCCACACACCCTTCTCTAAACCTCAGTCTACATCAGACTCAGCTGCTTTCCTCCAAATGCTTCATATCTTCTTTCTTTATCTTAGCTCCTATTTTCTTTTCCTAAATCCTTTTCTCCCATTTGCTTTTTCAAGGCTTGGCCCCAATTATACCAGCTGCCTAACAAATTACCCCCAAATTTAGCCACATAATGCAATAAACATTTATGATCTCCCATAGTCTCTGTCAGGAATTTAGTAGCACCTCGGCTGAGCTGGTTGATCTGGGACTGCTCAAGAGACTGCAGTCACCCTAGACTAGCCTGGTAATGGGGAATATGCTTCCAGTGGGGGCTCACTCACATGACCTGCAAGCTGATGCTGCTCTTGGGCTGGAGGCTCAGTTCTTCTCCAGGGTTTGATTCCTCTCCACTGCAGCTGGCTCCCCCAGAGCAAGCAGTCCACTAGGCAAAGACAGAGGCCCCATGCTTTTCACGATTTTGTCTTGATCGTCACATCTTACTCCCTTCAGCCTGCATGTTGTGTCTCACACAGCAGTTGTGTTGGGAGAGAGTATACATGGATGTGACTCAGGAAGCAGGGCTCATAGGGGGACCAGCTGCCTCACATAAGCTTTGTTAAGGTGGCTTTTCTAGATTCCTTTTCTTTATTTCCGAGCCAGAAAACAGAGAAGGAGACCCTAGATTCTTTAACTTCACAAATCCCCCTTCTCCTTGCTTTTAATAGTTCAAATTCTTCAAAAACCAAAGTTCTTGAAGATCTCCCAATAAACCACATTTTTCCTTTCTTGTTTGATATGAAGTGTTTTGAAAAGTTTGCAGGAAATTTAATTAAAAGGTATTTACCAAAAGGTATTTTGGTGGAAAAAGAAAAAAAGAGAAAAGAAAAAAAAAGTTGAAACCCTTGCAAACAATCTTTTTTCAAAAAGTCCAAAATGTTGATATTATGAAAAGAAAGACAATGTATAGATTAAAAAATTTGAACCAAAATAAATGTTTCTTTTAGTTAAATTTTCCATGAACTGTTGAAAGCACCTCCCATTATAAAGTGAGAAACGGAGAACTGCTTTGGTTAATTATCAAAGGACATAATGTGGAGAAACCTGGTTCTCTAATTCCTAGACCGTTGTTCTGAGATCGTATCAGTGAGAACAGAACATCCTTTTTTGCTTGAAGGGTTTGAATGATCTGAGTCACTTTGACACAGAGAAAAGACCTCAATTTACAGGGCAGAAATTCAGATACAAGAATGTCAGACAATGTTCTATGTTGGTTTTACACTTACATTTTCTAGGAAACAGAACCTTGAGCCTGCCTCTCGATCCAGGTGTCATACTCAGAGACCTGACTTGCTTTGAGTCCATCAAGCATTGCTTCATTTTGATTTTATGTACACTCCTGTCTTTCCCCACATAATCACTCCGTATTTCCATATTTCTCCTCCTCCTCCTCTTCTTTTTCTTTCTCTTTCTCTTATTCCTTCTCCTCCTCTTCTTTTGAACTTGGTGTTTATTTTCTCAAGTAATTTCCATGTGGCTTTAGATATTGTGAAGGGCAGCTTTAAGATGACTCACTGCTTGTTCCATCCTAGCTGGTGGCCTGAGCACTGTCTTCAGTTGGGGGCTAAATGCTTGGGTCTTTATTAGGGAACATCTGATTAGACACAGAGGCACCTGCGTACTTTCTCTATGCCCGTCTATAGTGTTGGGTTGAGAGCAGCCAACTCCTGTGCTGGAGTAGCTCATTCTCCTTGAGAATTCCTCCTTGATCACGGTTGTTTCAGCAACAGTGCACTTTTCCTTTTCAATCTCATCAGAATCTCTGTGGAGATAGATTTAGGTATGATCCCTCCTCTCCTACATGCACCACGTGGCATCCTGGGCCAGTGTCCACCATATCAGACCCACTGAACAAGCTCTCTTTGGTGGCCTGGGTTGTTCGTCCGCCCTGTGCAGCTACACAGAACAATGGTAGGCAGGTTCAGATAGGATGCCTCTGCAAGAGGATGTCTTGGGATCAGTAGCCACCACCAGACGTGGATCCCAGAAGGCAGCCTGGATCTGCTGAGTAAAGGTTCCAGGTGTGAAGTGGCCTTAATAAGCAGCAGCAGACTTCAGCATAGCCCTCTTTTCCACTGTTCCTGAAGGGTATGGCACTGACACCAACAAAGCTTTCAATGACAACAATGGCACGAGATGCCCAGAGAAGCTTCTCCCAGCTCTTCTCAGACTCACAATGTAGATGTCCTTTTGCAGCTGGCTTGTTCTATTTGGAAGGCAATACTGGTACACCTTAGGTGGGGTCCTGCTATAAGCAATCTGAAGACATTCTCCGCCTTCATTCATAGTACAACAGGGCTCTGGACATTGTGGCAATTTCCTTGTAAGTAATGCTGGGAGGAGACTGCACTGTGGTGCAGAGGGTTAAGCTGGTTAGGGAGTGGTATTAGCACCAATGACAGTAGCAATTGCTCCACTTCTGACCCAGTTCCCTGCTAATGTACTTGGGAAGGCAAAGTAGAAGGCCTAATTACTCCCATTGCTTTCATCCATGGAGCAGACCCAGATGGAGTTCCAGCTCTTGGCTTGTTATAACCATCTGGGGAGTTAACCAGCAGATGCAAGACCGGTCTTTCTAACTCTTCCTTTCAAATAAACAAGCAATTTTTTTTTTAAAAGTTATACTGGGAATTTGGGCCCGGCGCGGTGGCGCAAGTGGTTAAAGGTCCTCGCCTTGCACGCCCGGGACCCCATATGGGCGCCGGTTCTAATCCCGGCAGCCCCACTTCCCTTCCAGCTCCCTGCCTGTGGCCTGGGAAAGCAGTCGAGGACGGCCCAAAGCTTTGGGAACCTGCACCCGCGTGGGAGACCCGGAAGAGGCTCCTGGCTTCGGATCGGCATAGTATCGACCCGTTGCGCTCACTTGGGGAGTGAATCATCGGACGGAAGATCTTCCTCTCTGTCTCTCCTCTCTGTATATCCGCCTTTCCAATAAAAAAATAATAAAAATAAATCTTTAAAAGTTATACTGGGAATCAAGAACTATACTATGTGAAGCCCTGGTGATATAGCCAGAAGGCCCTTTATATTTATATTTATATTTATATTTATATTTATATATATATATTTACATATAAATATTTATATATATATAAAACAGTCTCCACAATTTCCCTGTTGCATGGTGTCCTTTGTTATAGCAAGTTAATAAACCCAAATTTGCTATGTTTGTCTTTAGCAGTCTGGATCAGATGCACTTTGTATTCAGCTAAAGTTACTGGAGCTCATGGAAGTTCATTTTTTAGACTCTCCCACATTTCTGGAACAAAGGCATCTTTAAGGCTATATAGGTAACTTTTGTATGTGTTTCCTCCTGTTACAAATTCCAAGGTAGTCACAGGTAGTCACTTCACCCTGCAATTTGTTGGCGATCTTGAAATTCTCCCTCTTGTCCTGTCGTCCACTCATTCTTTGGTCCTTTCATATTCAGCTATAAAACCATATCATGAAGCCTTAATAGAAAGTTCTAGAAAAAGTACGCATCTTGTTGTCTTGGTACTTTGTTCATACCTCTACTATGTCTTACCATACTTTTTCTCCATCACATTTTTCTCCTCTAGTAGTTTCTTAAAATAGGATCATCCATTCATTCTTGTATTCTCCAAGCCAGGCACACTTAATTACCTAAATGTTCCTTGAGGACAATAAAAATGTCCACATGCCAATGAAGAATTTAGAGACTCCTAATTTTCTCTCATTTAGAGATGACTCTTGAGCACTCATACACTTAAATCATGACTGTATCTGGTGCTAGGTGACTCTGTGGCCTTTATTAGACTATGAGGAAACCTCTGTTCTGCAGTAAGGTGTGGGTGTGATGCGTTTGCATTGTGTTATGTTTCATGAATGTCTTCTCTGACACTTGCTTTTCTCCAGCTTTCTCAACTTTGAAAACCATAACCCACTAAGTTATTGTCTACGGGCTGGACCAAGCATTAGGGATGACAATTTCTGCTTCATGGGGTCAGACAGGAGAACAGTGTAATGGGCAAAGCCCTTCTAGTTCTGGGAATCAGGCCAGCGATTCATACAAGGCATGATTGTTCCTGCTGAATGTTCCTTTGCAAAGTACAGTGCTTTTGGAACTTTTTGTTTGACCAGACCTACATACAGAAACACATCTCTTATCGCCACCTAACTGGGAGTGAAAATCTCCCAGGACAACTGCTTCACGGTGAGATGCAATCTGTGCTTTTGCTCTTGTGGGCTATTCTTCTCAATTCCATGAAAATAGTAATTAATAGTAATAATAATGAAGCAATGCTTTTTATTGACCAAGCCCACGTCACAGTTTCCTAGAGTTGATCATCTAAGTTAGGAGACACCAGTGTGGGAAAAGCAGATTTGATCAGCATTCTTCCCACATCTCCCTACACCTCTCCAAGTCTGCGCTGTCCTGTCTTCCCCCAAACAATGAACGCTGCCCCCAGTCTCGGGGTGCCCTGCCAGACCCCCCTTCTTCCCGGGGCTCCTTTAAGAGTTGGTAACGGCCCATCTCAGAGGGCGGAGAGGCAGGGCCCACAACATCGGCGGCACAGGCCGAGCCCGCTCTTCCAGTTCTTGTGAAAGCGAGGGTGTGGGTGCGGAGGGCTGGCGGACAGGGGTTGAGGGCTTCCGCCAGGCCTCGCGGTGGGGCTCAGACCGGGAGGAAGGCAGGCGGCGTCTCGGCCGGGCGTTTCCGGCGACCCCCGCGGGGGTCCGCGCGTGCGCAGAGCGCGGCCCTGGACCGAGTCCGCGCCGCCGGCCGCGCGCGCTCCCGCGGGGCGCAGGCCTGGGTGGGCGGCGGCGCGCGCCAGGGGGCGGTCCTGTTCCGGCGGCGCCGCCCTCCCTCCGCGCCGGCCTCTCCTCCCAGTCTGCCCCGCGCTTCCTGCACTCAGGCCGGCGCCGCCGCGTCCCCTCCGGCCGGCTCGCTCACCCTGCTGGTGCCATGGCGGCCTTCAGCAAGTACTTGACGGCGCGAAACTCCTCGCTGGCGGGGGCCGCGTTCTTGCTGCTCTGCTTGCTCCACAGGCGGCGCCGCGCCCTCGGCCTGCACGGGTAAGGCTCGTGGCCGCGCCGCGTTCGCGGGCCCCGGTGGGCGCTCCCGGCTGCGTGCCCCGCTCCCTCTGCCCAGCCGAGTCGGGTGCTGGAGAGGGCCGGCGGCCGTGGCTGCCAGGCTCCCCGGTCACCCGGTGCCCCCCGGGCTGTCGGCGTCCGACCGGCCGGTCCGCCCACCTCGTTCTTTGCCGGCGGGTACGAGTTGTGTGCCCGCGAGCCAAGCTGCGCTCCACCTGCGGCGGGGCGGGAGGGGCACCGGTGTGTCCCCCGCCGCAGCACCCCCTTCTTTTCTGGCAACTTTTTGGGTGTGTGCTCTAATGTTGCCATCTCATCCCCGGGGCGGAGCGAGAGGTTTTTGTTTAGTAGAGTGGGGAATGTGATTTGAGATGAGGATTGGTCTCGCCCGGCCGAACGCGGCTGCCCCACGTCACCTGCAGCACACGGTTTGGTTCCCGAGTCACAGCTTGTTGACAGTGGCTGGAGTGAGACCCTCTCCTGGGCCCCCACGGCCAAGTCTCCTGATACCGAGTCCCCCCTGGAGCTGGGCAGGGAACGCCCTGGCCTTTCCTCCGGAAAGGCTACCTGGACTTTAGGTGCTTGGAGGACAAAGTTCCCTCCCTGTAGGTGAAAGGTGAAAGTGTGTGTTAGGTGAAGCGGTGAGTCGCGAGAGAGGATTGAACGTTCCTATTGAAGTTGGGGAGGATGTGAGATTAGAGGAGGAGCGGGAGTTGGGTTACAGCTGTGGACTCACAGGCATACCTTTAAGTTGCTGAGCAATTCTTGTGCACGCAAACGGGGAAGGGCCATTCACCAAGCGTTCTTACCAGTCCTGGGATGGTTCACGGTCGATCATGACCCACCGCTTTCATGCATTTTCCTTCCTTCATTCCTCTGGGCAAGCACGGTTGTCTTCTGTTTCTGATTTGTCTTGAAATAGCTAAATGGATATGTAGAATTAGGAGTGAGACGCTGACAGGTGGTTGCAGGTCGTAGTCCCCCCTCACATGCTTCCTAGTCTTCCGCATGTTCTTTTCTGCTACACACTTGATACGGGATGGGACCTCTTGTCCTTACGTGCACTTCACAGAGGTGAAGATGATTTGCATTTCAGGCTGGATGTTACAGAATCCGTTTATGCTGCTTCTGGTCAGTTCGCTTTCCAGAGGACTGATTCTGGAAAATAGGAAGCGTTTTTAAAAAGTACAGATTGGAGTGTATCCTTACTGAATCTAAGTTAGGAATGAAGTTCTCTGGCGCTATGTCAAGAGAAAATGCTCAGGCCTGCCGTGCGTTTGCGTGTCTGCAGCAGCGTGTGGTGCGGGACTGAAGACTCCGCTCTAAAAGCCCTGGTTACCTTGGTGATTTTTGTAAAACACTTTACTGGAGTACTCGGGCATGTAGAAATAGCACGTGAGTTTAGTGCTTGAAGTTTTCATATGCAAAACACATTCGTGTCCTCAGCATCTCGATTAAGACACACTGTTGACACCTTCTACATATGTACAGTTTTTATGAAAAGAAACTTCCCAGCATCCCCGAAACTCCTTTCTGTCCTAATCCAAGATAACTGTCAGACCAGTTTATAACCATGGATTCTTAAAAAAAAGATCAATTTTTTAAATTGGAAAGGCAAATATACAGAGAGCAGGAGATACAGAGACACGCTGGGTCACTCTAAGTAGCCACAACGGCCAGAGCTGAGCTAATGTGAAGCCAGGAACCAGGAACCTCTTCAGGTCTCCCATTCAGGTGCAGGGTCCCAAGGCTTTGGGCTGTCCTCTGCTGCTTTCCCAGGCCACAGTCAGGGAGCTGGATGGGAAGTGGAGCAACTGGTGCCCAGGTAGGATTTTGGCAGATGCAAGGAAAGGATTTAGCTATTAGGCTATTGCACCGGGCCGAAAAACCATGGATTAATGACTAAGAGAAATTTTAACCAGTCACCTAATAGGAAGCACTAACAATAACAGTAAAATAGTGTAATAGGATTTGTCCTATTAAAATGACTTTAACTATTGATTTGCCACTATAAAGTGCTTTAAAAATCTGAGAAATGTTGCCAGTTTGGGGGAAGGTTAAATTATACAACAGACAGTTCACTGAACAAAAGATTATTATTAATTTTTCTTTGCATTGGGATGAGTTGAGAAAATATTTTTGTAAGTATTTTGTGGGAGTAGAATAAAGATTATGAGCAATTAAGCATGGTGTTTAAATTACTGAGCTAAAAGGAGTGAACTATTTTGAAATAACTGTAAATGGTGCTGGATCTGTAAATGTTATTCTTCTGGAATTTTATGAATAGTTTTTACTACCTTTAGTATTACAGCTTGTAGGGTAGAAAATTCTATTTTTGTGTTTTATTGGTCTTTTGAATATCATTGGGAACAGAACCAATTAGTTAAGGAACCTACTCTGACTGCTGGACCTGCTTTTGTTTGTTGTGAATAGTAGGTCTGTCTTAGAATTTGTTCATTTATTCTCTTGTAATTGAATAGACATAGAACTAATAAAATTTTTTTGTTACAATATAACTTTGTTCTAAAAGCAATAGTTTAATGTTCTGTTATATTTTATTTTTGTTAATGCAACTTTTCTTTCTTTTTTAAAGATTTATTTATTTATTTGAAACTCGGAGTTCCGGAGAGAGATACAGATTTTCCACTTGCTGGTTCACTCCCCAGATAACCACAAAAATTTCAGGCTGGTTTAGGCCAAGCCAGGAGCTTCTTCCTGGCCTTGCACTTGGATTGTAGAGGCCCAAACATTTGGGTTCTTCCAGCACTTTCCCTAGGCTGTTAGTGGGGAGCTGGGTAGTGCAGCAGCCAGGACACGAATTGGCGCATATCTGGGTTACTGGCAATGCAGGTGGCAGCTTTGCTTACTGTGTCACAATTGTAGACCCTGTGCAGATTTTCTCACCAGCTGAATGAGTGTGTGTGTGTGTGTGTGTGTGTGTGTATCCTTTTACTGTGAAGGATTTCACAGATATACAAAGAAGCCAAATGTTGTGAGAATTCCTCTGAGCAGTTTACCCAAACAGCACCAACAATATCTTATTCTTGTTTCATCTCTATTTGCTTTTAGCCCTTCATTTCATAGGTGTTTGTTTAAGATAAAGCTTATATACATTGAAATGTGCAAACCTTATATATATATATAAAAATAGTATATATATTAAACAAATTATTCATTTGTGTAGCATACCCATATCACAAATTAGAACACTTTCCTGCCCCATAAGTTCCCTTGTATTCATTCCTAGTAGCTTCCCATGACTGCTGCGCTCTTTTTCATTTAGTAATGCATTTTGTTTGTTATTTTGGGGCAAAAGTCAAACCTTTTGGTTCAGGTATAAAGGGGGCCATTCAGTTCAAAAGGAGTCTCAGAATGGAGTAGCACTGCTGGATTCTCCCTCTGCTCGTGTGTAGACACACACAGAGATAAAACATACATTAAATAAGTTGCAGTTTTTAGGGAGCTTATATTGTTGGGGAGAAGTAGCTTAACACAGGTGATATGCCTTAGAAGTTCTGGGAAAGGCAAGATTGGCAGGCATGCTTGGGAAGCGTTAAGTTTTCTGGGTGATGTGAGGTAAGGCTAGAAAGTAGGCAGACAAACTCAGTGGTATAGCAGTCCTTATCAGAATTTTTGCATGTGTGACAGGAAAAAGGTTTGTGGTGACCTTTCTTTTTTTCATTTTCTTTTAAAAATACTACACAAGATTTATTTGTTCAACCTAGTGGACTAGCTGGGCAAAATGTCTTATTTATTTGTTGGTGTCTAGCATTAAAAAAAAAAGATTTATTTATCTAAATGACAGAGTTAGAGAGGGAGAGAGAGAAAGAGAGAGAGAGAGAAAGATGGATGGATGTACAGGGCTGGGCTGAGCTTTATCCAGGATCTCCCTTGTGGGTGCAGCAGGGACTCAAGCACTTGTGCCATCCTCTGCTGCTTTCTTAGGGAACTGGATTGGAAATGAAGTAGCCAGGGCTTGAACTCGTGCCCATTTGGAATGCTGGTATTAGTGCTAGTGGCTTAACCCATTATACCACAACACTGGCCTGTGTGAGGCCCCTTTCATCCCTCTTCTGCTACTACCAGAGATTTAAAATAAAATTTTTAAAGATATATTTGTTTATGTCCAGATGTGAAGATACATGCAGCAAGAATCTCTATTTGCAAATCAAAGATGGACTCCCTATGAGGCTGTTGGCTATATCTTGGCAATAGGGTGCTGTACTGTATGCGGGTGCTGTACTGTCTGCCATTGTCCATACCCACAATGTCCGGGTACACTTAAATAGAATGATGGGCTTATGAGTGTTTATGAAGGTCTGTACCCTTGTGGTAATATGGTGCAAATCAATTGCGAGGAGGGAATTTTGGAAGGGGGTAAGGGAAGTCCCAGAGACTATGGAGTTGTATCATAAAATGAAAAAGAAGGGGAAAGAAAAAAAATTTTTTTTAAAAATGAATGGCTAAACTAGTCATTACCATACTATGTAATACTAGTCTGCAATAAAGAGACCAAAAAAAAATATATATATATATATTTATTTGGAAGTCACAGTTGCAGGAGGGAGAGGGGGAGAACAGAGACAGGTTTTTCATTGGCTGGCTGCAGTAGCCAGAGGTTGCCCAGGCCAAAGCCAGGAACCAGGAGCTTTTTTCGGATCAACCATGTAGGTGCAGGGGCCCAAGCACTTGAGCCATCTTCCACTGCTTTCCCAGGCATATTACTGAGCTAGATTGGAAGTATAGCAGCTGGGACTCGAACTGGTGGACTGTGGGATTTTGGTGCTGTAAGTGGTGACTTAACTTGCTGTGCCACATTGCCATTCCTTATCAGAGATCTTTTTAAGAACACGAATGCGATTATAATATTGCTGTGTTACATTATTCTAACTACTATAAAATGCAGGCTTTCTGTGTCTGTGGTTTGTTTTCTGTCTTCTTTCGTATATATCCAGTCATTTGGGGTGAACTTGTAGGTTCTGGAT